GCAAGAGCCCTGTTTGACACCCTTTGTTTGGATGAAACCCTTGGAAATTTGGTTTCCAACCTTAATACTGCCGTGTTAACTCAAAAGGGCGTAACTGCAATTTTTATTAAAAACGAGTTTGATGTCCCACGCGTTAGTTAGTAATCTTTTCTACAAATCTACCTGAGTTTCGTAGCCATATCTGCAATAAAACCGGATATATACTGCTTAAATTAATAGCCGTATCTGAATTTTCTACTAAAATGTTAGCTTTAAAAGCCGCAACTGTAAATGTTAACACAAAAAGCCGTAACCAAAAAGTTTTCGGCAGATACGGCCTATTCACTTAACATTTCAAGATATTATTATGTTGGTACGAAAAGTAGTAAACTGTCAATTTACTTTATTTCTAACCTTACTTTTTCGTGTTTTCATAGAATGTGTTTAGTTTGTTGTTCATAATAAATATGGATAATAATTTTGCAGAAACAACTAGTAAGTATATTTTCTACTAATTTATATAAAAAGTTAAACAAATACAAATTGTTACCTTGTACCTATGTGTCAAAGTATATATTTTTGGTTCTGAAGTTATTGTAAATTGATTATCTCGAAAATAAGGTTATGTCACTTTGGTTTTCACACCAAATAGGTATTTATATTATGTATGTTCTATTAAAAACTATAAAAATAATTATTGCTTTGTCAAATTACTTGATGAAAAAATTTGTTTCAGCAGAATTTAGAGGACGAGGTAAAATGTTGGTGGACCTGGCTTTAAATTCCGCAGAAACAAATAACGAGCTGTCGAATATAGCTCAGTCAGATGTTGAATCTGACGTGTCTGATGACAGAGATAGAGACTACCTTCCTTCAACATCTTCCTCAAGTGAAGAATTTTGGGACACAGATAATAACGTTAGCGACCAAAATATACATATTATTAGCAATATCCTATTACAACCTGCTTCAACAACGAGCTCATCAGCTATTTCGGAATTAAATTTAAACAACTTATTGACAGATACGGAAGAACATCGTACTACCAATAATTATAACTATTTTAATAATTTAATTCACAGTATTATACAAAGCGCAATAGACAAATCAGAGAGCAAAAAATACACTAAAAAGGGACAGTTAAGAAAACGGAAAAAAATAGAAGAAAGTTTAAGTGAACGACGTTCAATAAAAATGCAAAAGTTAGTCAATAAACACAAAATATATGGAAGCTGTTTGGCTACTTGCAAGAAAAATTGCAGTAATAAAGTTTCAACTCTTCGACGGCAAGATATAAATAGGCAGTTTTGGAATCTTTCCTCCGAGGAACAGAAAGCTTTTTATTCAAGTTCCATTTTAAAGATTCCCAAAAAAAGATGCGCAACTAGAAATTCAGATAGTTCTCGGCGCTCTTTTACATTTATCTACCAGTTAAAAGATGAAGAAGGAATACCTCAAAATATTTGTAAAGTATTTTATCTGACAACTTTAGGACATCATGAAAAAAATAATAAGCCAGTTAGAACAGCTTTAAAGAGTTCCCAATTATCGCTTAAACCTAACACAGATAAACGAGGAGGCAGCTTAAAAAAATTTGACAGAGATTTACTCATTAGTCATATACAGTCCTTTAATCCTACGACATCGCATTATAGACGAGCACATGCTCCGAACCGTTTATACTTGCCTAGCGACATAACTATAAAACTAATGTATGAATCATTTAAAGCAAAGTACAATATTCAATGTTCGTATTATTTATATCGTCAAATCGTTAGTGAGCTTAATATTTCATTTGCAAAGCTTGGAAACGAAGAGTGTTTTACTTGTGAAAAATACGAGATTCATAAAAAAGAAAGCTCACACGTGTTAGATGACGGTCTAGTTTGTCCTGAATGCGAAACATATAAAAATCATCGAGAAAAATTTATAAAGGCCCGAGAGATGTACTACGCTGATTCCAGATCGTCGGGCGATTCTAGAGTTTATACAGCTGATCTGCAGAAGGTATGAATTTTATTTTGAATAATATCTGTTATATTTGACCTTACACAATTTTTTGTAGGTGATTATGCTCCCAAGATGCGATACTTTCAAAGAAATTATATTTACTCCTAGACTGATAGCCTTTAATGAGAGCTTTGTTCCAGTTGGTACTTCTAAAACTTCTACAGTTGCTGTTCTATGGCATGAAGCTATTTCTGGAAGAAAAAAGGCTGATATTGTTAGCACATTTTATGCATTTTTAAACAAAATTAGGGATTCCGAAGAAGTTGTTATTTGGCTGGATAATTGTTCCGGTCAGAACAAAAATTGGTGCTTGTACACATTTTTTGTGTATGCTGTAAGCTCATTAGAATTGAACATTAGGAAAATAACCCTAAGATATTTTGAGTCAGGTCATACATTTATGGCAGCTGACTCATTTCACCATAGAGTCGAGCAATCATTAAATCGAAAAGGTAAAGTTTATGACTTCGTTGATTTTGTAGATGCGGTTAAAACGTCAACACGTAATGTCGAAGTTATCGACATGGCTTTTAATGATTTTTACAACTGGAAAGACGAATCATCTCAATATAAAATAACAAGGTTGGTCCCTCGTCCGTACCTTCAACAAATGGTGGAAGTTCAGTTCATCAGAGGTTTCCATACATTTGGTTATAAAACTAGTTTTGAAGGAGAAATCATAAGTGCCAATTTTTTAAAGGCTAATATCCAAAAAAATGGCATTGCAAAACCACTCTCTATCTCTCAACCACGAGGTATTACCATGGAAAGAAAACAGAATATAATCACTAAAATTGGTCAAATAATGCCCCCAAATCGCATTGCATTTTTAAAAAATATTTTTGTCAGCGAAAAGGTGGACACAATTGATGATTAATATAATATAATAACTAGTTCGGAGTAGAAAATTAAGTATTAATAATTAATATTTGTTTGACTGAGTATGATATTTTAGTTAGTCTGTATTATTGTTGTTTACTTTTTTAACTTTTCCTAATTATTAAGAATAACTTACGAAATTAATACATTAATATTGTAACGTTCATTTGTTTAATGCAATAAATATTTTCAAAAAATCATGTAGTTACGTTCTTAATTATATACCTCATGTTAAGTGAAAAAGGCGTATCTGTCAAAATCTGTCAAAAGTGTTGTTTTCCCAAGTTAATACTCTACCAAAATTTGTCACATGATAGTATAGACCTATTTGTTAACTTCTATATTGTACAAGTCACAACTTTTTAAAAACTCACGATTGCCTAATCAAAACCACTAAAACTGATTTTTCTCGCAAACTAGTTTAAAGCAGATACGCCCTTTTGAGTTAACACGGCAGAATATAAGCTTGGTTATCTTGATATAGCTTTTTCACGGCATTTATATATACTGCATTTATACCTGCGTTTTCCAATATTGTCCATAGTCTCTGCAGTGGTACGGAGTCAAACGCTTTACGGAGATCTATAAAAGTGGCATGAAGTTCTAGTCCTCTTGCTAATCTCTTTTCTATTAGATGTTTGAGAGTAAATACATTGTCGACACAAGATCTCCCTGGTCGGAATCCACTTTGTTCTTCGATCTCTGTGGCTTCTTTTTCTATTCTGGCTTTCAGGACTCTTTCATACAGTTTGCCAGTGGATGACGTAATGCTGATACCTCGGTAATTACTGCAGTCATTCGTGTTTCCCTTTTTGTAGATGGAGTTTATGTACGAGACTTTCCAATCTCTTGGGATACTTTCTCCTTGTAGGCACTTGTTAAACATTTTACAAAGCAATTCTAATGTTATTGCAGTGGCATGTTTGAATAACTCGATAGGTAAATCACCCGGCCCAGGAGCTTTATTATTTTTCATTTTTTGTAATGCGTTTTTTATTTCTTCTACGGTAATCATCGCCACTTCATTTAACCCCGTTTCAACTCTATCTATATGTGTGTCTAGAAACTGTGTACGTTGTTTATTTAATAGATTTTCGTAATAACTTTTCCATCTTTCTATGTCTATGGGGTTTATTTTTTTTGTTTCGTTTGTATTTTTTCTAAGACTGTTGATAGTTTTCCAAGCTTGTCTGGACCTAGATCCTCCTACCATTGAGCTTATTTCTGCACACTGGTTGTCCCAGGTTATGTTTTTTGTTTTTTTAATTTCCTTTTTTACTATATATTTGTATCTGTTATAGTTCTTTCGGTCTTCCTCATCTTTTGTCACTAACCATTTGAGATACGAGTAAGGACGATAAATATACGAAGAAAGTTGCGTTTCGATTTAATTTTAGTCTCTTACCACTCCCTGACACGTGTTTCTGGGTCTACCCGTCATCAGAAGGAGTTTATAAGAAGACTCAAACCAAATCAAAACGCACCGATTACTCTGGCAATTACAGGAAAACAACTACCTCTAGTGAGGAAAGATGAAAATACGTCGATAGCAATTAAAGTAAACTGTATACCCAAGGTTAATCAAGAAATTCAGAGCAGTGCTGAGAATAATTATATTCCACTATGCACCAACAATTTACCCATATAAATTACCATCATTTTTGTACTCATTACGTCGAGTAAGGACGATAAATATACGAAGAAAGTTGCGATTCGATTTAATTTGAGTATCTTACCACTCTCTGACTTACAAACTCCTAATGACGCAGAAACACATGTCAGGGAGTGGTAAGAGACTCAAATTAAATCGAAACGCAACTTTCTTCATAAAAAACTTTGACTTTTGAAAGCTGGCAAATATAATTTGAACCGAGGAAATGATTGCAGGCATTACCTCAATACCTCATTAAATATTAGGCAATATATAGTTTGCATGAAGTTAAATACGGTAATTAAGCTACTAATCGATATTTTTCACATGGTGAAACTATACAAATTCAGAAAATTAAGATTAATGAGAGATTACAAATTTATGGGCTAATTTGTGATTGAATAATAGGTAAATAAATTAGAATAGTGTTACATACTGTAAAATAAATTATTGTAAGACTATATAAATTAAATAAATAAATAAAAAATAAATTAGTTTAATAATAAATTAAACGAGTAAAATTGTAACATGTGGCTTAATCCTATATAAACACAATATTTAATAACATTTGTAATAATAATTATAGTAAAGTTAGAACATATTAAACAATAATTATCAATGAGTAATAATAATTGTAATACATGTTGTTTCAAATATGCAAAAATTTTGCCAAATATAATTAATATTTTGGAACGCCATTGGTCGTTAGATTAGGCATTACTGTTCCAAAAGATTCTCGCCACTGCATTTGAAACCAGCAATACATTTTTATACAATTATAGTAAACATGATTTCTGTTGGTCTTAACCTATGTAGCGGATAACTTTAGTTTATTCGCGATATCGAATTCCGACAGGGGGCGCTGAAGATTTCAAAGATGGACGATAACTTCGGGAAAACAAATAATTTTGTCATTTGATCTCTAAGCTATAAAATGTTTAATATAAATCATTTACACGTGTGTTTTGCCAAAGTAAAAGTTGAAGTACGTTCTTCAAAGTTTATTTGTTTGTGATTCGAGTTTATACATAAGGTAATTGACTCCCAAACCTGAATAAAAATAAAAATTTGTTTTTCTACAGTATGTCTGAAACACGGGAAGTAAAATTTACATGATCCTAATTATTTATATGGTTGCAAGATCGGCAGAAGAAATCTTTAGTTGAGGGTGAGGTGTTGTAAATTACGCCTTACGTTTTCTACTAATAACTTCATGAGCAAGTGTAAGATGCTTGGTCCACTTAACAAATATTTTTCAGACAGTTCGAATATCTACTGCAAAAAAATGCTTTAATGTAGAATAAAACAATATTTCATAAGCGATATTAACAGTTCATTTTCCACTGAAGGAGCACTATGCATTTTAATGTATGATTTTCCAAGCTCTTCAACAAAAAATTAAAATTTTTGAAAAACCAGTAAAATGTTTCTTCTTCTTCTTCTTTGGGTGCCGTCTTCAATGAAGGTTGGCAATAACCTCAGCAAAATCATTTCTGTCCCTGGCTTTTCTTATTAAAGATTGAGAATCCAAACCAGTCCACTCACGAATGTTCTTCAACCAGGACGCCTGCCGTCTACCAGGACCATGTTTCTTTTGATAAAAAGTAATAAGAAATTAATTGACTTTTTTTCCATGTTATCACGGTTTGAGTTGTAGTACATATTTTTGAACTCTCCGATTTATTTTCATTAGCAGGTGTCTCTGTTTAACAACACTTTTGTGTATCATTATTAACTGTTTGTAATAATTCTGTTTCTATTTGCTCTTTTTGTTTGTTTGGTGGCAATACTGCTGCACAAAGTCTTTTTCTATATCTATCACTTCACTAGAGTCTCCAACTTTCTTTTTGGTAAATTTACTGATCTTTTTAATTTAAATACACTTTTTTAAATCTTTTTTAAGAATACACCATTGTCCTAGAAAAACAAGACAATGACAATGCAAGAAATTAGAATGTTACTCGTTTTTGTAAAGCTTTGTTCAAGTGAAATTAATGAAACTTAAAATTATCAGTTTTTTTGGAAGCTGAATTTCATTGTGGCACACAATTGTAAGGCATACTGTAAAGTTTTAGTAAAAGTGTTCAAACAATTAAAATGTCCTAACTAACTTATTAAAACTAAAATCACTCAAAAAATTGCATACCAACTAGGAGACGAGTACCAAACAATGTAAATAGATGTCTGAATAAACTAAGGTTGTGTTTTAATACCAAACCCTGACGCCAACGCCACCTACATGCATGTGATCTATTGTTCTAATATTGTATGAGCTCTGTGATATAAATTTAGGAAAGAAATGTTTTTCTTAAAAAATATTAGCAATGTCTCTTATATGTAAATGGCGCTAAATGTCAAAATTCGTCAATGCAAGTTTCCACTCTCCCCAGCTTTAGCATTAGCAGGAGCTACTTTTGTACTAGCGATATACTTTCCATCAGCCTACTAGTATCGGCCTTACTATTCACTGGTAAAGTACCTTTAATCTCTCGAAATTTAAATACTTGATAGATTATCTTTACACAAACATTTAGGAATGTTAAAAGAATTAAGGAAAATAGATGAAACAAACAATGATCATCAATGAAAATGAATCAACAAGAAAATGAATTATGCTTACTGGTTATATTATTCTTGGTTCTGATTTAGCACATCTATTGCTTCTGAGATTATACTTCTCATCTAAACTTACGTTGCTGTCTTTTAATTGTTTGTTAACATTATTGTCACTGATCAATATATGTCTTTTTCTTGTGGGTGTTCTTATATTTAAATTTAATAATTCACTGTATTTGTCCTTATTATCAATGTCATTTGAAAGTTCTTTTTGTGATTTATTTAATATATCTTTTGAACTTTTTAAATCACCTAATGAATTATTCATAGCTTTAATATTTTCATTAATACTATTCAAATGGATCTTATCAGCTATCTCTGGACTAACATTCAATAGTTTAGGATTACTTTGAAGAATTTTCAAAATATTTGAATTTTGTTTTTGAATGGACAGTAATATTTCAAACTGTTGTTTGGCATAATTTTTATGTCTAACAGCAGAATATACCAAAAAAAAGACAGAAAAGCTAATAAATACATATCTTGAGAACCAAATGTAACTATAAACTTTGGAATAAAGATTTGAAGTGTCTTTACCAGAAATAAAAATGTAAATGGAACATATTATCCTTTCAGTTAGAAAGTTTAAAAATTGCAGAAAAAAAATTATTAACCTAGATGCACTGGTTCTATAGGAGGAAGTACAAATAAATGATAAAACAATTGAAACTGTATAAAATATTACTGAATTAAACCAAGACATTTCCCTAATAATCCAAGACTGAAAATTGGTAATAGTTGTCAATAATACATTTAAATTATCCCCATGCTGCCTGAATAAATCTTCTAAAATATTTTCCAATACTTTGCCATGATGAAGCATTTTCTCTTGAAGCCTTAAGCTTTCCTTCTGGGCTGCCAATAATCCTTCTTGATTTTGAGCTGTTTCTTTTAATTGTTTACCCACAAGTATTGTATTTTCAGTTATTATTTCTTGCCATACATGTCCTTGTAAAAATGCGCATATATTTTGTGTATGAGTATAAAATTCTGTATAAACATTAAATGCTCTGTCAGACATACTATTTATACATATAGCTCTAACATTGGCCTTCTTATCCAATCCACAATTGTATGTGTCATGGCCTGACATTGAAAGAAAGCAGTTTGTAAAATGTAAAGCAATTTCACTTTGTATTTCTTCTGTGAGCAGTTTACATCCCCTTTGCAAATATTCTATCCCTGACTTCCAACAGGTACCATATTGGGGTAGGTTTCCCTTTTCTTGAATTAACTAAAATCGTAAGAAAATATTAAAACAAAATAACATATAGATTATAACAAGATAACAACATAACAAGATAAATAAAGTAACAGTCAACTATTAAAAAAATTATTACAAAATATTTTTTATTTCAAATCCGTGTAAGAATACTATAAAAGAGTTTTAGAAAGGTGACAGGTGTGGACCGCAGTATCATAGGACTAGCAACTTTGCTTGGAATAAAAAATGTTGTTTTTGTGAAGACCAAAAATCCAAGCCACTAAAGAAACACACTTTCTGACAAGCAAAAGATTATCTTCTCTTACTGAGATTTAAGTGTGTTGACATCATTTTATAAACAATTATATGTTATGAAAAAACAGGTAGAATAGGGAAAATGAAATAAGGGAATTTCCATAAAAATAAATATTTAATAAAAAAAGATCTGTAGATCTAGAAAAAAGTCTAGGAATTAACAAAGGAAAAACAAAATATATATATATATATATATATATAATTTATTGTTATGCTATTAATTCTGACTTTAATCAACTCTTCTGAGCTTAGAAATACAAACACAAAGGGAACAATCAGAGAGGTACAATGAGAGTAAGTTATGGCATCAGACAAGAAAAAAAAATTTTGTCAGTGGCCAATTCAACAGCGGCGGCCGGCCAGGTGAAGTAGGTGAAAGTGAGGTTCACCAAAAAAGTATAATTAAATTGAGACAAATAAATAAAAAATAAAAGCAACATTATTATATCTAAATTCTAAAATCAATTATTTATTCTCTTTTAATTTATCTAAAAATTAGAAAAGACAACTAGCTTTATTAGCAGTGCGGTAGGTACTTAACGGTCAAGTCCTGACCTGTGTCACTTGCTGTGTATGATTCAGGAATAGGTAAATATCATTTTTGAAATGCGAAATCCATTTGCATAAAGGCGCGTTTTGACGGGTCGATCTGAGTTGAACCATTTGGATCGTTCAACCATCATTCGATCTGTGCCGAAAGCAAAAAGGTTTACATGACAGTCGATGAATGTTAAATTAATTGTAATTGATATAGAAAAAAAAATAACAAATTTTATTTAAATTATCTATATTTTTTAAATGTTAATATAATTTGGTACATTGATTTGTAAATGTAATATTTTCGAAGTAAGATTTTACATTAATAAATAGTCTATTTATATATGCACCATTAAGATGATATTTTCTTAGATAAAACTTTGAAAACAATTAGGACCAAATTACAAAATAATAGATTAACAACTAGAACCAAATTAAATGTAACAGCTATAAGGAACTGTTGACTTGATCTACTGACAACACTTATTTTTATCTAAACAATGATTTCTATAAACAAAATTTTTGGGCTGTGCTTTAAATCCATTCATCATCATCATCCAGCCGAATTTTCACATCCATTGTTGGATATAGGCCTCCTCCAAACGTCTCCAGTTCTCTCTATCTCTAGCTGCTGCAATCCAGTTTGTTTCTATTCTCCTTAGGTCGTCGGTCCATCGGGTGGGTGGTCTGCCTCGACTTCGCTTGTCGGCTCTTGGTCTCCACTCCAATAATCTCTTCGTCCATCTTCCGTCTTCCATTCTAGCAACATGTCCAGCCCACCTCCACTTTTGTTTATTGATTCGCAGTATAATATCGTCTACGCCAGTTCGTCGGCGTATCTCCTCATTTCTTACGCGATCTTTCAAGGTCAGGCCCAGCATTGATCTCTCCATTCGCCTTTGTGTTACCCTCAGTTTTTCGGCAGTAGCTTTCGTTAAAGTTAAGGTCTCTGCTCCGTAGGTCAAGACTGGTAAGATGCATTGGTTAAATGCCTTCCTTTTCAGGTGAATTGGGATATTTGTTTTAAAAATGTCTCTCATCCGTCCATATGCCGCCCATCCCAACATGATTCGTCTATTTAGTTCGCAGGTTTGGTTGTCTCTGGTTATTCTAATTTCATGACCCAAGTATGTGTATTTATCGATTAATTCTACCTTGTTGTTATTGTGTAAATCCATTATTACCTAATATATAGGCTATGGAAGACTTCAAAACAAACATTCCTAATTAAAATTTAAAGCCCACAATATGTTGGAAATATGTAGAGAATGTGTTGGATACATTTCTGATTAATATAAATAAAAGGTAAAAGGAGAAGTCAATAAAATTTACAATGGAAAAGAAATGAATTAACTCCTTTTCTGGATGTTTTAATCTCAAAGGAAAATAGTGGATATGGGGCTAATGTATACAAAAAACCAACAAATATGAAAATTACCTGTTCTAATGACAATTTGTTTTTGGAAAAAAAAATAAATATTATCCAACACCTATTTTAGTAAAAAATGATTATTCCAGTCGTTCGACATCGATTTGGCGGGAATCGCCTATGAAAAGTAGATAGTCTTTCTACTTCCGTCGAATCGACTCACTCCGCCGAACGGCCAAGCCGATTTATGGTTTACATGTTCAATTTGCTTTCGATTTATTAGTCGACCTAAATAGTTCAACCCAGATCGACCCGTGAAAATGCGTCTTAAGAGTTCACAGTTATCATGGCAATGTGACGTCAGCCTGTCGCTAGTGATAGTTGAGCAAAAAAGGTAGTGCAGTTCTGTTAAAAAATATTTTATCCATCTTCACCCACTGGCCACTAGTTGCATGGATACCTATTTAGTATTTGCAGCGACAATATTTTGAAATTTAGTCTATTATATAGACATTTTTTATATAGAATAGTGTATAGCATAGAGAAATAACAAATAAGTTATTGTTATTTCTCTATGGTGTATAGTATACACATATTAGTTTAGTTTTTATATAACTATATATTTTTTTTAACGAATTTTTAATGAGATTTGGGCTGCAATTCAAAATCTTATAACAACTCATGGAATTTTTCTAGCACTCTACAAAGAGATGATGGCTTAGCTGAACACAACATGCATACCTTGATTGGATTAAAAGTTAATTCTACTGATTACATACCAATGAATAAAGAAGTTAAAACAAAAGTTTACAAATTAAACTACATAATGCATTACATCCATCAAAACTTATCAGATTGGAAAATCAAACATTTTGAGCAAAGTTAAATGTATAGAACATGAACATGCTGATAACTATCCAGATCTAAGTATTCAATTTGTCAATAAACCAACCGAAGAACATAGTTCTACACTCTATTAATCAACTTCGATAGATTCAGCAACCTGAGTGTTCACAAGAACATTCACTTTTAAAAATATCTGAACAAATTCGATATCCTTATTCAAGACTACATGTTTGCTACATGATTACATTATTTATTAATTTATATTGATATTTCTTATTCAATAATTTAATTATTTCTATATCAATAGTTGTAATGAAGAATAAAGACGATAATATTCCAAATATTTAAGTTTAGATCATAAACACCAATAAAAATATTTAATACATTACTTGGTACTGTGCTTTTCCCCGTTCTTCTATTTCTTGTTCTTGGGAATTATAACTGGTATTTCCTGTTAGACTCAGAAAACAAATTAGAAAAATAATAATACATACACGCATATTATCCTTGTATATCAAAGCTTTTATAATTTATAACCGTTTGAGTTTGAAAAGATGTTCCGCTTTTAAAACATTTAAACAAACGTCACTGTCACTTTACTGTTTTCTTCTGTTTAACTTTACGATGTCTTCATTTCGTTTGATGTCTCCTACAGCTATATAAATAAAGTATCAACTATCAATCTCCGACTTTAACCTAACCCACATAGGCGTATATACTACATTTTTGTTTTAATTTTCTGAATAGAACAAACTTTTAGTACCGCGATGCCAACTTTTAAATCAGCAATATAGTTACTTAAATTTTTTGCTTTTTTTCTAATGCTTGTAATGGAACAATATTTGGAAATTATATTGAATAGACATTTTTCACATTTGGTCCCAGTAAAGATAGCCTCAAATTGGTTTGACAGAACTAAATATTGGTGTTTACTGTTTGGCAATGTTGAAATTTACGAAATTTACATTACAAATGATTTTTATTTATTTAGCGTATGGCAATTTGATACACAACATTATCACATATATGTTACAATCTAACATCTAATGTATTAATATATTCAATCGACGCTGGTGTTGCAGAGGCGAAGTCTAGAGGATCTCCATAATACTTCCTCCGAGGGCATTCGGCAATCATATGCTGCTGGATGGTCTGTTTCTCGGCGCCACAGTCGCACTCAGAGCAGAGGTTCTCATCCTCCATTTATAAAGGGTATCTGCGCATACATCTACAAATGAAAAATATGCAATCAAAACCAAAAACATAAGATATTTAAAACTTAATACTTTACAATTACCAAAAAAGAAAAAGTAAATAATAAAGTGTCAATATAAATAATAAAGTTAGAAAAAGACATCTGGCAACTGGTATGTCTAATAATTAATTGCAATTAATATTAAAAGAAACTAATATTAATTTATTGGCAAAAGTATAGAGAAAGTGCCGATGATTTTGACATAAACGTCATGTCCAATTTGTGTTTGCGGTATTGCCATGTCTTTATTATGTATATGTTTTATGCCTCAAATATGCTTTGAAACAGTTCATTTTAAAATCGGGTATTTTTTAAAAAAATTTATATTGATATGAAACACGAACGAATGAATATTTGTTTCTTTTGATATTAGTTGCAGTTAGTTATTAGAAAAAAAATTATAATTGGCTTTTGGTAGATTCAATGACGTATATATAGACTACGCAGTCCCCTATTCTCGCTATAGAATCAAGTGTCCGAAAGATCTCGGCTCAAGGTTGAAGGTTTGTTTATCACAACAGCGGCGTGCTCATTTATATGTTAATGACAATAATTATTTTTTTAATTAAAATTAAATATTTATGATTTCTTTATGTTCCCGTCTATAAGAGAAATAATTATTTTGATAAAATAGTATGGCATTTTACTAAAATAGTAAGTAAATAACTCTCAACAATTTAAAATAAAATTTGCTTGTCACACAAAATGGAGAAAATGTTTTCATACGTCCATGATGTTTTCAAACACAAGATCAACTTCGTGATGCTTCGTAAGAAATCATGAACTTCGTGCATCTTCGTATCAAAACAATAAACAATAACAAAGGTATTCATGTTTTGGACACTTTTTAAAGCGTTCACCGAGTCTATATATTATACGTCATTGGGTAGATTAGTAAATAAACTTGGCAATACTGTCAAAAGTAGTTGCCAGATTGCAACAGATGTTTAACGGATTTCAATTTTATGAATATTTTCTTATAATTTTGGGATGAAATGGTATCTAAATAAAAACTTAAAAAATTAAAGTTAATTTAAATTAAAATAAATTAAATTTAAATTAATTAAACTTCTTTTAAAAACTTAAAAAGAATGTTTAGTAACATTAATTAATATTATATCGCATGCTCTTTCGTGATTTATTTGTGATATGGCAATTGCGGTGTTGCCGGGTAACACAAATTTGACATGACGTTTATCATAAACGGTTTATGCCATAGATAATAGATAAATAACCTAGTATATACCAGAGATATGTAATACAGACACAGCATAGTGTGATACAGATATGTAGTAATACAGTTTATGCCAACTTCATCGGCACTTTCTCTTTCTCTATATTTCTGCCAATTTATTCGTGTTTTATATAAATTATAAAATGGCAGAATCAATAAGATAATATAATAAATGTACTAAATATGGTCACACTGACACTGATAAACCATAGCACACTACCACCTAGCAATGAAACTTCCGTGTTCACGAGTAAAACAATGATTGGCGCATCACCTAGTGACCGGGCGCCTAACTATAAATATATGGCGCGAAATTCAAAAGTTTAGTAATATTACTTAGGATTGTGAACTCATTTTAAAGTAAAGGAAAATCGATATAATCCTAAAATAACAAGAAAAATCCTTATCTTATACGATAATAAATATTTTTCGTATACTTTTTGGGTTTTCTTGTTATGTTGAGACTATATTTATTTTACATTACATTAAAATGCCAAAGTGGTTAAAAAAATTAAAGAATAAAATATAGAATAAAATCTTTATTTATAAAAATATTACAAGAAATGTTATATGTGTTACAAGAAATGTTAATAATACAAGCCAAGTGTGTTACAAGAAATATTAATAATACAAGCAAAGTGTACTATAATTTAGTTTTCTTAATGTTGTGGCAAGAACTGGTCAGTATTTAAATAATTGTTTGGTCTTAGTATGTCAAGTTTTATGTAAATAGAAGCCTAATTCTGCAAAAGGCCTTTTACTACAATTTTATTCTCATAATTCGCAAAGAATTCAAACAGTGGTATATAACATTCAAGATTTTTTTAGAAGGCAATGAATCTAAAGATAAATCCCTAGAAGACAAAGATAAGTGCATGCTTGTAATAAATTTAGTCTATAATTACATAAGCGAAGCAATCAATGGGGAAAACCAATTGCTTTCTTCACACATACTCTCACAGATTCAGAATGAAAACATGCAAATGCGTTGAAGTATTAAAAAAATGCAGGCATTATCTGGTAGGAAAGCAATTCAAACCAATCACAGATTAAATCACTATTTTGTTTATATAGAATGCTGGCATATATAAAATCTGACAAGGAGAACTAGCTTTACTTCACAAGAATTTATTAATTATCTACACTCTAAAGGAATATTTTAAGTAGAACAACACCATATAACCATGAAGGAAATGGTTAAGTTGAAAGATACAATGAGTTATATAGAAATTGGTGAATCTAGCATTGAAAACCAAATATTTAGACATAACTACCCAGTAAGCACAAGTACGTACATAAGACATACTAAGTACGTACTTATGGGACATAGAGTACGTACAATGTACGTACTTTACTGTACGAAGTACGTACTTAATACGTACATAAAACGTACATTTTCCAAATTATGGTACGTACCTAGTACGTACTGAAAGTACGTACCTGGTACGTACTGAAGGTACATACCTAGTACATATTGAAGGTATGTACTTAGTACATACTATATATATATATATATATATATATATATATATATATATATATATATATATATATATATATATATATATATTATGTACATACTATACACACTTATGATGATTTATGTAAATAAAAGTAAATATAGGTGAATATATTTTTATTTTTTTTTAAATAAATTCAATTTTTATTCTTTTAAAAATAAGAAAGAAAGTTTTTAAGCGATCCCGACTCTCTTCAACCATCGTCCAATTTCTTGCTCCGCCACTTTCTTATCACATTTTTGACACAAAAAACACTCGACTGAATAAAATAACAGGAAACCACAAGCACCAAACACCAAAAATAAGTAAAAACAATCTAAATGAAACTGCCTTGCAATGAATTATCACATCACAACTGTACTCGAGGTGTAAAATTCCTAACTAAATAAATTAGGTTAGGTGAACATAACCTAACATAATAAATATGCTTTAAATCTTCTTTCTCATGGTACATACTTAAGACGTAATAAGTACGTACTCTTCTGTACGTACTGGTATGTACATACTTAAGACGTAATAAGTACGTACTCTTCTGTACGTACTGGTATGTACCCCAATGTACGTACTTCAAACGTACATTTTACATCATGTACGTACAGTACCAAAATTGTACGTACTTAAGACGTACTGTGCTGTTTGGGTAAATGAAAAACTGCTTTACCAGGATCTCTGTACTATATAAGAAGTTTACTATTGAATTGTTATATTATTGAATCACACTAATGATGAAGATGAAGTCCAATAAATCAATGCCAGATGTGACAGAAAATTTACCTGTTCAAAAACCTGATGATAATTATGAACCAAGATTGGAAAATTCAGATTTTCAATCTAGCTGTAAATCAGCTGGAGCTAAAAATAAACCAAGATAGTTGCAATATTTTGTTCACAAATAGGGACGGGTAAATGTACTATAATTTAGTGTTCTAAATGTTGTGACAAGAACTTGTCAGTAATTAAATAATTTTTGTGGAATTCTAATAATTAAAGCCCAATAAGCAACAGACAGCCGTCAGACATTCTGAGTTCTTTGTAGTACTTATATCCTACACACACTACCAGTGGTCAGTGAGAACTCTTACTGTCTGGCGTTCTGCTCACAGAAAGACAGAACTCAAGAACTCTGCTAAGGTGGAAACAGAAAAATTAAATGATTTAGTTGTAGAAAGAACTTTTTACAACTAAATATAGTTATATGTATATACATATATAAAAACATACATTTATATGATAATATTTAAGTCATATTTAAACCTATAAACCCAACAGTTAGCTCTGAGATTCTAAGATCCAGCACTATAAAGATGGAAAAATAACATTAAAAATAAAAAAATATGTAAAGTATTACCTAGTTACAATAAAAACATGAAGTATTTTACAAAGTTATGTTTCCAAACTCTATGTTACCAGTAACTCTTTTCTACTAATATTTATATATTTATTGAGAGACATATTAAATACATTTAGATTTAGGTTGTTCTACAAATGGAACATTAAAAGTATGTAGATGAGACAAACCATGGTAATATGGTACTCTAAGACCAATCTCACTCACAGACAGATCCCTCCTCGCACTTAACAGGCAAGCTCATAGACCTTTCCAAACCCTCTCTACTGTGATGATTTTTAAGATAGTTGTTGAACCACCACCTACAAAATAATTCAAATAGTAAGCAAGACTGATATAGACTTTATAATACATAATTTTAGGTTAAATTTATAATTAACTAATTTTATAAGTAAAAGGTCACATACATACATATTTATATTGGCATAATAGTTCTTACCTGGTGTTGGTAAAAACAAACTCAGAAAAGCTGTTCTCGTAATACCGGTATGTCCAACATTAATTATATCGTCCTCTTTAAAATGACTAGCGCATATACGAAAATTGTTATAAATAGTTTCTGTTGCAGCATTCTATAATTAGGGCTCTTAACAACATTCCCCCATTCGTAAGAAAAACTATGTTGTTTGCCAGTAGTATCCATGCAATCTGAAACACATCTTTTTTGTTCAGTTCTTCGTCTCTACATTGTTATTCCATGTAATGTGTTCGAGTCCATAATAAAAAATCGTCTAAAATTGTACCTTTTTGCACCACTGATATAAAAAATTTTAAATTATAAAATAAATTATAAAAGATAAAACAAATACAAATATGGCGCCGTATTTGTCTAAACTCAACTTTGAATTTTCCACAGCACACTCCCTCCGCGCAGGAAAGAGACTAGCAGCGCCACCATACGAATGGGCGCCAAATCCGAACATGATTTGGCCTTGGCTATCTCTGTTACCAATCTAGGTAAATTTATCTATGCTGATAAACCAATACCAAAGAAATATAAAATACAGGCGCCTATGTATATTCGTAAACAATTAATTGCTAACTTCATCTAGGAACTCAAATTTAACTCTCTTTGTTTATGCAATGGATTTCACTTCACATGACAAATAGATTTCAGTTCTCACAGTTCATATTATTCAACATTTTATTTATTTTCTGTATATCTTTCAAAATTTTCAGTGTCAGCTGTAGACTTTTTAAACATGAGTCTAGAATTCAAAGTATTTACCTTAAATTGCTGGTATGTTATTTTAATTTTTGTTTAAAATTATTTCTGTTGCCAGTAGGCATTAAGTAAAAATATTTTAGGGCAATTCCATTACCCACTCTTTCTAAAAACAGAAAACGACGAATAAAAGCGATTGCAGAACATTTATCAAATAGTAATTATGATGTTGTATGCCTTCAAGAAATATGGAGTGATCAGGACTATTATTTAATTAAAGATGAGGTGGCTGGAGTTCTCCCATATTCTCATTATTTTTACAGGTAACACAAAATTCTCTTTATTCTAAAGACTATTTTAGACATATTTTTGTGCTACTAATGCATGACTGTGACTTATATTGTTACTGTTTTAAAATTTTTAGTGGAGTCACTGGTTCTGGAATTTGTATATATTCGAAACATGTAATTGAAGATACCTTCTTTCATCAGTATTCATTAAATGGTTATATTCACAAGTTACAACATGGTGACTGGTTTGGTGGAAAGGGAATTGGACTGTGTAAACTAACAGTTAGTGGTTTTAGTGTAAATATTTATTCTGCTCATGTAAGTTGAAAATACTTAATTTTTTATTTATATCTTAATACTATTGTGTTAATGGTGTTGTTGTGGGACTTTTATTTAAAAGTATTTATAGTAGGAGATCCACTGCAAAATCACTATGTTCATAATGTAGTTAATCAAACTCACATTTTTACATACATTTAAGAATATGAGAATACATTGATAACAGGTTGCCAGTCAAAAAGTAGTCACAAATAGTTTTATATATATAATGGCTATATAGCCCAGTGTGGGGTTAAACAGCAAATGCTTTCTAGATCCTATTTCTTAAGTGGATCAGTCTTTTTTGTTTATCTTATTTTCTTGCTAATATCTCTCTATTTTTTCCTGTCACTAGTTCTTCCTACCCATTCTCTGACTCCTGCCCTTTGGAGGTCTTCTTCAACTTCTTGCAGCCACTTTGATCTCAGTCTTCCCCTTCTATTTCTTCCTCCTGGATTCCATTCTATCATTACGTATGTCTTCACTGCCTCATCTCTTCCTTGCCAAATGTGACCTTACCATCTAACTCTGCATTGCTTTATTTTAGTTATGATGTCTTCCTTAAGTTCTTCCTTAATTTCTGCATTTGTTCTGCTTCTATATTTATTTTACTCTGTTCTGATTGGTCCTAGTATGGTTCTCATAATCTTTCTCTCTGCTATTCTTAAGTCTTCTTCATCTTTTTTTTTAACCATCGTCATTGTTTCTCCTGCATATAATAATATTTTCCTAATTATGGTGTTCATGTTCATAAATGCTCATCTTACTTTTTTTAGTCAGTGTTTTGCTTTTAAGTAATCTTTTGTTTGCAAAATAAGCTTTATTCGCTGCTAATATTTTTTCTTTTATTTCGGATTTCCTTTTTCCTGATTTACTTGTTGTAACTCCTAGGTATTTGAAGTATTCTACTTCTTCAAACTCAGAACTTCCTATTTTGATTTTTTCTTTAATTGGTTTTTTTCCCTAATCTTAATATTTTTGTCTTTTCTTGATTTAATCTTAGCCCCATTTCCTCCCCTTTCTCTCTTATTTCTTCTAGCATATCTTTCATTATTTTTTTGTTCTTTGCAATAATAGCAATATCATCTGCATATGCAATTATTTGACCACCTCTTGTTCTGAGATTTCCTTTATTTATATTTCGTAGTACATATTCTAATGCTAGATTAAAAAGCTTTATTGATAAGGCATCTCCTTGTTTCATCCCTTTATTTATACTGAATTCCTCTGTCTCTCCTCTTTGTGTCTTTATGCTTATTTTTGTAGTTCTCAATATCATTTCTATTATGTGGAATTTTTAATTTTTTAAGTGCTATCATTAATCTGTTCCTTTTAATTGAATCAAATGCCTGTTTGAAGTCTATGAATAACATTTCCAATTCTAATTTATACTCGTTTGCTTTTTCCATTATTTGTTTTATTGTGTGTATTGCATCTATTGTAGATCTTCCTTCTGTAAATCCACATTGGTACTGTCATACTGTCTTCTTTGTTATCTTTGATAACCTCTTTTTTATTATTGATGTCAATATTTTGTATGTTGTATTTAGTAACATTATGCTTCTATAATTTTCACAGATTTGTTGGTCTCCCTTTTTATGTACTGTTATGATCTGCCCTACCTCCCAGTCCCCTGGCATTTTCTCTTCTTTCCATATATTTTTCAATAGTACCAGTATTTTTTCTCTTAGTTCCCTTCCCCCTTATTTTATTAGTTCCATATTAATTCCATCTTTACCAGGGGCTTTTCCATTTTTGCTTCTCTGTATTACTTCATCCAATTCCTCTAATGTTGGTTCTTTTGAAATTTTGATGTCTACTTCACCTACTTCATCTGCTTCTTCTTCATGCACTGTTTCCTCCTCGTTATGCATTTCTCCTTCTGTTGTTTCCTCCATCAAGAGCTTTCTGTAGTAATCTCTCCATACTTGCTTGTATTCTTGTCCTCTATTATCACTATTCCCTCTCTATTTTTTATTCCGTTTGTTTTGCCCTTGTATTTTTTGTTTTATTCTTTAATCTTTTTGTAAAAACTTTTCGTATTTCTGTTTGTTCTTTCCTGCTCTATTTCCTGAATTTTTTGTCTACCCATTCTCTTTTATTTTGCCTTGTCACTTTCTTAGCATTCCTTCTTAATTTTTCATATTCTTCTCTGTCTTCCTCTTTATCTGTTCTTAGCCATTTATTTCTGGCTTGCACTTGGTTATACCATCCGTTTTTTGTTTTAGCCTGACTTTTACCTATCTGCATATTTGCACCTTCTTCTATTGATTTTTTGATCGTCTCCCATTCTGTGTTTATATCTTCTACTTTATATTTCTCTTTTATTTGAACTGTTACTGCCTCTTCATATTTTTTTCTTACTTCTTCATTACTCATTTTATTGACATTCCACTTTTTATGTTGGTTTTTTTTGTTTTGTTTCAATTTTAACTTTTTGTCTTATAGTGGCTGTGACCATGTAGTGGTCTGAATCTGCACACGCACCTCTGAACTTTCTTACATCTTTTATTGACAATTGTTTTCGTTTATTAATCATTATGTAATCAATTAGACTATAATGTTTTCTGATCTGGTGACCTCCATGTTACCTTATGTATTTTAGGGTGTTCAAATTTTGTTGAGCTTATTAACAAATTTGTTCTTGTTGCTAGGTTACATAGTCTTTGCCCATTGTCATTAGTGTTTTCGTGTATTGTATGCTTTCCTGCAATTTGTTGTAAAAAGTCCTCTTTTCCAATCTGGGCGTTGAGGTCTCCTAGTACAAATATGACATCTTCTTTGGGTATTTTTTCTATCTCCTCTTCTATCCTATCATAAAAGATTTCTTTTTCGTCTGCATTGCTTGTTTCTGTGGAGACATATAAATTCAAGACTGATATATTAAATGGTTTGCTGTTGAATCTAACATAGGCCATTCTTTCGCATATTGGCTTGAAATTTATAATTTTTTCTCTTAGGTGCCTTAGTATCATGAATCCCACGCCTTTTTGCCCTTGCTTCTTTCCTTCTGAATATAACATTGTAAAGTCTTGTTTATCAATCTGTCCCTGTCCCTCCCAGTGTAATTCTTGCAGTGCTGCAATATCTATTTTATACTTTTTAAGTTCTTTTCCTATATATTGTTCCGAAGCTATTTTCTTGTGGCATTGTAAATTAATTACTATTAAACTGGGAATAAGCCACAATTAAAGATAAAAATACATATATTGACGTTTCAATTTCCACTTCGGAAATCATTCTCAAAATACAAACAGTAAATTAAGCAAATTTTGTTTTTTGTTACATAGTGAAAAATTCTTCTAATAATTTAATTTTATCTGACTCATTTATATTGACAATTCAGACATACATTATGCATTTTAAAGTAAACAACTTAAAAATGATATTGCCAATATTGTTGAGTTGCTTATGTTCCATGTGGTTATTTTCAACTCTTTTATTTTTTTTGTTCTGTTGTCTTTGTCTTTTATTTTTGTTTCCTTGTCTATCTATCTTTATTTCACTTTTGGTGTACCAGGGATTATCTGCAGTCATTTCCTGTTTCTTTGCCTCATCCATCAACAAATAAATGCATCCTCTCATCCATTGCTAGTTTTTGAACCACCTCCATGATGGTCCTCCAGCTGCTGGGTGTTTCTATTCCATCTCCTTTCTAGACCATCTATTATAAGTTTGTTGGCTTTAATTTGGACACATTTACTTTTCTTTATTTCATCTTTTGCTATTCTTCATATTTCCTTCTGTATTTGTAATTCCTCTGTCGTTAGATCATTGTTTATTATATATATTTTCTTTTTTCACTTCTTTAAGTTTACTTTTGTTTTCCATAATTTTTGTTTTTTCCTCTTTGTTTTTAGTCTTTGTTTGTGGTCTTTGTTTGACAGTCTGACTAAACATGTTTTATCTCCTAGTTTCACTGCTTCTTCTATATTTACGGTAGTGTTTAGCTCTTTTGTCATACAATTTTCTATTACTTCTTTTAGTATTCTTCTATCTCCAGTTTCTATTGTCATTCTCTGTATTATCACATTATTTCCTTTTCTTATTCTATCCAGCCTTTCAAGGTGTCCTTTTGTCTCATTCAGATCCTTTTTGATTTGTTCATTTTCTTTTCAGATTTCACTATTCTCTTGTTTTAGTTCTGCTAGTTCATTTTTGAGTTCCCTCATTTCCTCTCTGTATTGTTTTTGTTCCGTTTTTTTACTTCTTTTATACCAGTTTTTAATTCTTGTAACTATTGTTAAATTTTGTAACTATTGTTAAATTTTTTATCATATTTAGTATTGATAAATTGTAACTATTGTTAAATTTTTTATCATATTTAGTATTTGGTCTATTTTGTTTTCATGTTTGTGACTTTTAACTGGACTTCTTTGTACTTTTTTACTGGGACCAAATAACAGTTCCTCTTCTTCTCTATTTCTTTTCCGATTTTCATCAGATGTATTATCATCTGAATCCATATTTCTACTGCTACTACTCGCGATAGAGCCAACCTCCCCACTCAACGCGTCGAAGGAAGAAGGTTCCCTTAAGCAGCAGCTTGTAGTAATTTATTTTCACATTTTCTTCCTGGATAAATTAATTTTCATTTAAAATAATTGTCAGTTACTTTGGAACGGTTCGATGTGGCAACGCCCACCTCTAGCGTTTAAAACAGATATATAGCGTTAATTACCTGGGCCGGTTTTGTTTTTAGTTTTTTGGGTTGAGAATAAATAAAATTTCCTTCACCTTCCTAGATTTATCGAGGTTATGCACTTACCTCTCTTCCAATGTCTGCTATAATTACCATTAACACTTTTATTCTTCTATTACACACTGCACGCAAAAGCAGCAAGATTGTCGACTCACAATAACCAAAAATTGAAATTATTATGGAGAAGAATTTACACATGTCTATTCCTTACACTAGAGATGAGACCGCTCCCACAAATTTTAATTAAATTAAATTTCATTCATTTGTTTTTTAAATAAAATACACTGCTTATGATATATCTGTATGTTTTTTTATATCAAATTCAAGCCTTTTTTTTTAATACAGTGATATAAGGTTGCCTGACAAAAAATGGTTGCAATTTAGAGTTGCCAGATGTTAAAAACTCAAGTATACGAATAAACACAAGTATAAGTGAAAGAGAGTTAGCACCAGTCCACTGGTTTGACAAGGATGATATGGTGCCATATTAATCTGACTAAGTTTTGAAGCTGGTTATACTGTTGTTGCATTGATTAAAGTAAAGTTTGCATTTTAGAAAAATGAAAAAGTGTATTTTTAATTATATGTTTGTAATATGTCTTGTAGTTTGTTAATATTATCTATCAATACATGCACAGTGGCTTTAAAACTTTGATACCTCATGTTTTTAATAGCTGACAACCATTTTTTAGACAGCAACCTTATATCATCATATTAAAAAATGAGCTTTAATTTGACGCAAAAACATGCATATACATCATGTGTAGCATATTTTGTTTAAAAAATAAATGAACAAATTTTTTGTTAAAAAAATAATTACCATTAATTTAATTAAAACTATTTGCAGGCACTTTTTGACTGTCAACCTCTTAGCAATGTATTGTCCTATTCTTAAAATGTATGTAAAAATGTAAGTTTGTTTAACTGCATTATCAATGTGGTGATTTTGCAGTGGGATCTTGGACTTTATAATGTCTTGAAAATGTTCCTTGTAAGAAAGTGATCTATGCTTAAATACTCTTTCCTTGAGTGCTCTTCAAACTGTTCATGATAGGTTCGTAAATCACTTTAAAAACATGAAAAAACATAAAAAGCAAACAGTTTTTTGCTGAACGAAAAAGAACAACGCTGTGTTTCCACATTCGTGAGGCATCCACACATTGGGTTGAGTACCTCTCGAGCCAACATCAACATGTCCGACATGGAAATTGCAGCGGCTGTGACTGTAGTGATAATGAATACATATGATTATATTTTGCTACAAAAAGGCGAATATTATGTCATTTTGTCTACAGCGTTACTTAATTTTTCTAGATCTTTAGAGATACCGTATTTGGCAACTGCAGACTGAATATATGAGTTGACATAGAGGCTCTGAATCCCATTTATTCGTTTATTAACTGAATTCCCAAATTTCTTATCCTTATATTTTGGCTAGATTCTGCACCAAACGTGACTTTTATCCACAGCCGATATATGGAAGTACATATTTTAAAAGTTACATGACCATACGACAATGGTCTATTAGGACAAAATGATCTATATTTCAAAATTTAAAGCATATACTTCTATAAAATATTTAGATAAGTACATTTTTTTGGCGTTTGAAAGGCACTGAAAAAACCAGTTATGTATATTATTTATTTATGCAAGATATAGCCTTTTGAGAATAAAACCAGTTCTGATAGACCACCGACATGTATAGGAGTATTAATTCTAGACAACTCAATGGAGGTGACTCAGGTAGTTGAAGATCGATTTTTACATGTTGTAAATTTGTTTTTTAATGCCGTCATGGAATGGAAATTTTCTTCGATAAAGTAATTTTTATTTTCTAAAAAGAATGCTGTATAAAATGGCAGCTCAAGTGTTTTAAAAGAAAAAAGAAGATGCGGATTCTTTTTATAAACTTTGGCTTGTCATTGGTTTATGTTATTTTGCTTAGCTAGATTGTACATTAGGTACCTAGTTTTATGCAGGATGCGAATATTACGCGCCAACAACTAAATTATTTGCATATAGCATAATTATACGCCGATTGAAACACTGCTGTAGCGCCAATGTGTGGTCGGCATCAACGGCAACACCAATATTGGCGCCAATCTCTTTGATCTGTACGCAAAAACCGACAGTTCACGGAAAACTCCCAACGTTGGAGCAAGTCATAAAAACATTGGAGCCGACATTGACTCCAACACAGTTTTGTCGGTACATACATTGGACGAACGCTGTTGGGGCCAACGTTGGCCCCATGTGTGGAGCCGGAGTAAGAAATAAATCAATACGGATTGCCGCCTATGCCGATGAAATTAGCATTATGTATCGCAAAACAGAAGAGGCGACAGAAATATATTTACAATTAACAACAGGGGCAGAAGAGAGCAGACTAGAACTAAATATTCAAAAGACAAAAAAACTAACACAGGCAAGGGTGGGGGGGAAACAGACGCACACTTGAATTAGAGGACGATATTGGAACTGAAGAAAGTTTCACATATCTGGAAGTTACATTAAACACGGATGGAACAGAAGAACCAGAAATTCAAAGAAGAATAGTAAAGGAAAACAAAGCTTGCCATCTGCCAACTATTCAAAGAGGCACCGAACTCAGAAATCGGTAAACTTATGAGACTTTGATGGGCTGATCATGTAGTGGGAATGGAGAATGGAAGATGGCCAGAAAGAGTTCTACATAGTAAAATGTAGGGCGCAAGACCAAAAGGATGGAGGCATAGTTTGGAGGAGGCCTAGGCTCGATTTGGGCTGTAGCGCCATTGGAGAGAGATACAGACAATATTGTCACTTAGTAACATAGTCCTGTATATTAGTAATTTAATATAAGCTTAACTGAGATGTATTTTTGTATTTCAGATTTTGTTCTTTTGAAATATTTTGTTTTAAGAATTTTAATTGTTAAGTTATAATATTAATCATACCAAGTATACAAACTCAACTTATTTATTATTAATTTTATTCTATTTCAGTTACATGCTGAATATAATCGCAATAATGATGAATATGAAGCTCATAGAATTTTACAGGCATATGATGTTGCTCAGTTTATTAAGCTCACTTCCCAAGGTGTTGATTTAACAGTATTAGCAGGTGATCTGAATACTCTACCTGGTGATATTGCCTATAGGTGAGTATATTTATGCATTTCTGTCAATATAATATATAGGTTTGGAAATCCAAGAATATATAACAGATACATCTTGCAGTTCTGCAAATAGCTAATACCTCTCATAACATTTTATAGCCCAAGACTTTGACTAGAGTTTTTAAATAGGTACTTTAACAGTATAAAACATTAGATCAAATTATCTTTAACAATTAATTCTAAAAATATCTAGAGGCCCTTTTTAGGCCAAAACTTGGTTTTGCACCATGTGAAATTTTAATATATTTTAATTTGGTATTCATTGAAACAGAAATTAAATAAGCTATATCTTTGGGTCTATTTGTTCAGGCAATTCCAAAATGGAATTTTGTTAATTTCCAAAAAATGACGTTTGCCAGAAAACATATCGCACCCTAAATAATACAACTAAATAACTCAAAAATCACGATTGTTGAGAAATTGAAATTAAAGTTTTGAAGGTTGTGACCCCTTCTATGCGTTTTAAACTTACAGTACTCGCGCACGGAGCAGGAGACCGGCTGAAATCTTTAGAAGTGGGGGGGGGGGATATGAATTGATTAGTTCGTGTACTTTTTTATGTAGTGGGAAGTTAGTCTTCCCACTACATAGAAGTGGGAAGTTAGTCTTCCCACTACACTAAGAACCAGAAAATTTTCGACAGAATCAAGCACGATAAGCTCATGGATATACTAAAGACAACTGGTCTGGATAACAAAGACCTTTGAGTAATCAAGAACATATATTACAACCAATCAGCAACCATTCGGGTGAAAGACCAACTAACAGAGAAAGTTGCAATAAAGAGAGGAGTACGACACGGCTGCATACTCTCTCCCCTATTATTTAACATCTATTCGGAACACATCATGTATTCTCATACATGGTGAGCGCCTGAATAACATCAGATATGCAGACGACACCATCCTCTTTGCAGACAGTCTAGAAGGTTTACAGACACTAGTGGCGCAGTTGTGGAGAATCAGTCAGGAGTACGGGCTTGATTTTAACATCAAGAAAACCAAGTACATGGTCATCAGTAAGAAGCATATTCCACCCAGACAATTACTGGTAGAGCAGCAACAAATACTCAAGTGCCTTTTTACTACTATTTAGGAACCACCATAAACGACCAATGGGACCACTCAGTTGAGATAAAACAGAGAATTGAAAACGCCAGGTCAGCGTTTGTCAGAATAAGCAAGATATTTAAGAGCCACGACCTACCCTTAAAAATCCGTTTATTGAGATGCTACGTGTTTACAGTGCTGCTTTATGGGGTTGAATCATGGACACTAACCGAGGCATCCATGGGAAAACTCGAGGCGTTTGAGATGTGGTGTTATAGACGGATACTGAGGATATCCTGGGTAGACTGAGTAACAAACATTGAGGTTCTACGTCGGATGGATAAGACATGTGAAATTATATCCACAGTGAAACAGTGCAAGCTAGAATATCTTTGACATATAATGCGAAACGACCATAGATATAACCTGATGCAACTTATACTATAGGGAAAGGTCTACGGAAAGAGGGGACAAGGAAGAAGAAGAATATCTTGGTTCCAGAATTTACGAAAATGGTTTGCCTTGACCACTTCAGGACTATTTAGAGCTGCGGTCAATAAAGTTAGAATTGCCATGCTAGTTGCCAACATCCGTAACGGATAGGCACCACAAGAAGAAGGGAAGTTAGTACCTGAACCAGTGAGTGGTGTATAGGTGGTTTCTGCAGAAAAATGTTGACAAATTGTTGGATAGAGCTGATGTGTCTACTCATGTTATTATTTTGTCTAAAAGTTGTTTATTGGGTAAGTCTCTTTTTGCTTTTACTGGTTTTCTTTAATATGTATGTCATAAACTCCTTGTAGTTATGTACGAAATTAAAATTTTCACAGTATCTGATGCCAAATTATTTTATACCAACCACAAGTGTATGTGGGTAAACAACCAGATTGGCAATTTCAAATAGATAACAGTTCAAAAGCAGTTGTTGAAAGACTTTTTCAGCATAGAAATATCACCAACAGAAATATAACAACAGATAACTGTTTATTAGTATCGAACTTACAGACTTTGTAATTTACTAAACCAAACCAAAAATGATTTTGTGATATAATCAAACAAAAGGGGGCATAGACATGGTAGATTATGCGCTCAAGATAACTGTACTCGTGATACTTGACAATGGGAATGATACCTATTTATATCATGTTAAATGTGATGCAATAAACGCTTTTGTAATTTACAATGGTAATAATCCTGAGTATGAAAGAGAGTGTGTTATGTTAATCAATTTACTTAGGATCATTAGGCTTAGGTTGCAAGAAATCTGTTGTTTGGAATCAGAACAAGGCCTATCGGAAAGGGTGCCGGGGCAATTGATCGCTGTAATTTGTGTTATTGGAAAAAGAACAGAAAAACGAAATACCTTTGTTATCATTGTGGAAAATATCTATGTTTATAACACACACACACACATTCTATGCATGCATACATGCTATGTGTGCTACCTATGAATATATATTTAGGTTTTATGGCGTTTTGCAACAAATATGTTACCAAACCAGTTAGACAAAACGAATGGTTTGACAAGGAATACCAAGAAGCAACAGAAAACAAAAGTAGATCATACTTAAAGACAAATCAAGCTAGATGCGCAAGAAGAGCAAAGGAGGAATACCGGACCCTAAGAAGGGAAGAAAAAAGATTGCATAGAAGAAAAAAAGGCAATTTGAAGAAAATCAGTTAGAAAACATAGAATGACTAAGAAATCAAAACGAAACTCTACAGAAATGTAAACAAAATGAGTGAAGAGTTTAAGCAAAGAATAGGGAGCAAAATTTATATCGAAGAAGCACATAACACCGTAGTAGATCGAAATGATTGGAATTTATTTAAACCAAACGAAAGACAACTTACCACTGAAAAGGTGGTCCAAGCCATTAAAAAGCTTAAAGCACGAGGAATTGATCAACTTTGTAGTGAGCTCTACAAGAACCTGCTACAAACACTGCATAAACTTTTACTTCTTGTCTGGCAAAATGAGACCAAGCCCTGTGAATGGTCTCGAGGCCTGATATGCTCGTTACATAAAAAAGCCGATCAGCTCCAGTGTAACAAGAGATATAATCCCTTTAACAACTGCTTACAAAATACCAGCAAATATTCTACGAAAGGTTACAAGTTTACTCAGTTGGCATAGTTGGAAAATACCAAGACAGATTTACTCCAAGAAAAATCAACAATTGACCAGATTCATTCAATAAGGCAGATTCTTGAGAAAACATTGGAATTTATTGAAACCCATCACCTATTCGTCGACTTCAAGGCCGCATACGACAGTGTCAAGAGAACAGTACTATACCAATCAATGCGTGAGTTTGGCATATCAGAAAAACTTATCCGAATAACGAGAATGACAATGTCTAACTTAAAAGCCAGCGTAGGGTACAGGGAGAAAATTATCGATCCTTTGAGATAAAGGATGGACTCAGACAAGGGGGTGCTCTGACTTGCCATCATCTATTAACATTGCCTTGCTAAGATACAAATATTAGCTTACATAATAGGGTTAATGATATTCACATAATAGGGCGTAGCAAGCGAGATGTTGAGCAATATTTCTTAGAATTGAAAACGGCGGCGACACAGGTCGATCTAGTCATTAACGAAGACAAAACGAAGTACATGTTGGTTACTAAGGATCCTATAGCAAATGAGGAACGGGAAACAGCATTTGGAAGTCATATATTTGAACGTGTTAACAGCTTCACATACCTTGGCTCGCTAGTGACTACTACCAATAAAACAAGCGAAGAAAATAAAAGACGAATAAACCTTACAAACAGGGCATACTATGGACTCCAAAAACTCAGGAAATATCCAAATGCCACTCAAGAAATATCCAAAGAAAAACTATAATTATTATATACAAAACACTGCTGAGGCCGGTCTTCACATACGAGGCGGAAACATGGACTCTAACGCAGAAGGATGAAAGTCCTCTGGGAATATTCGAGCGTAAGATACTCCGCAAAATATTTGGAGCTATAAAGGATCAAGGGCAGTGGCGCAAAGATTTAATTTCGAATTATACCAACTCTTTATTGAACCAGATGTCGTAACGTTCAATAAAACACAGCAACTTAGATGGGCCGGACACAATACGAGTTCCTGACAACATGATTGCTAAAAAGCTAACGACACGAGCTAACGGACACCTATAGGAAGAAGAAGCAGAGGCCGACCGTGAATTGCCAGAAACCAACAGAATAGCTACTAATCTTAGAGCAGGCCAAGATTTTCGAGCCAAAGATGGTGATGATGACAACAAATATATTTTTACTTCTTTGTTTTAGCTTTTTTTAGTGCATTATCTATTATTTTAGCGAACATTCTCTTTTTTATGTATTAAAGCATCAACGTGAAGAGAAATATATATCTATAAAGGTTGTTTTTTTTTCTTATCAATAAAATTATTTAAAAGTTGTTTGTGTTTTGTATTTAGTTAATCTAATCAATAAAGATAGCACAATAAACAAAACATGATAAAAATTAAAATTATTTAAGTCAGAAACTGAAAAAACGAACCCGGAATTCCAGACCCTGTGCGAACACTTACATTATAAATTTTGCTGCTACTAATGAAAGGTCAAAGAAAATAAATTCAGTTATTGGTTAGTTTATGGAAATGTAAAGGCATTTCAAGTATTGTTAATAGAATAATACATTCAATTGGCATTTAAAAGTAAAACAATCTTTGTAATTACCAAAATTAAAAATGGTTAAAAAATCCCTTCACGACTTAAATCTCTTTTTGAGTAAAATGCAAGGCGATAATAAAGATATTACACTATACCAGGTCTTCCCAAACTGTGCGTCGCGACGCCCTGGGGCGTCGCTGCATTGTCCCAAGGGCGTTGCGTGTCAGTGAGTACATAAAATATATTTATTTTATTTTAAATGACTAAAATATAATGTATTAATAAATAAATCAAA